TTTTTTTCCTAATTTATTGACATTCTTTGTTGCAGTTTAATTTGCTGAAACTCCCATTGAAAGGTGCCACTGAAGAATCGATCGTCAATCCGATTGATCTCACCAAAATCAAGGAGAACATCGGCACGTACACCAGTTTCGAACATTTTCTCGCCGACATCCAGTGGATCGTTCACAATTGCTTCATCTTGTTTCTTGGTAATTTTCCACTTGGAATACATGCCATTCGCAAGGGGGACAGTAGTCACAATGTTTAATGAGCATTTATGAACATCATTTTTTAATTGAAAATAGATTTTTTCTTTAATGAGTATTTTTCAATGTTCATGCATTATTGGACGGTCGAATTTCGACCACTCACAACTTCACGAAGAAGAACTCAATCGAAACCGAACAACAAGCCGATTTATGACCGCTTGATGTCATGTTTCCGTTTCAGTTCAATTGAATAGCTTAGAATGTTAAGATCATGACACTGACAAAAAAGACATTTTTTTCATACAAAAAATCGTTTTTCTGCGTCAAGACTGAAGAATAAGATAGCGAGTCGCTATTAGCAACTAATTTTTTTTATACCACCCTTAAATCTGTAAGATTTAAAATTTTCTGACAAAAAACGATAAAACCCAAATCCGTTTTTCCATTGCAGACAATCACGAGCAGATGGAAATAGCCAAATCACTGGTGGATTACCTCGAAGGAGAGATAGAAATGTTGAAAAAGTGCGCTGGATGCTATTCGAATGCATACAACTATCCCAACACATGGTTTACGATGGCTTATAATGAAGTACATCTCATTGTTTGGGCCAGAAAAATTGGCTTCAACTTTTGGCCCGCAAAAGTGATTGCTATCAACGGTGAACTGGTCCATGTACACTATTTTGGCGATCATAAATATGCTGATGTACCGCCCGCTAATTGCTTCTTGTACTCCAGCAGTAACCCGAATAGATCACGCAGGACATCGACCCCGTTCAAGTGTGCATTGAATGTAATTTTCATAGCCCAATCGGTTCATTGAGTGCATGGTTTTGCTAAAAATTTAGAATTCTTCATAATAACATAGATAATCAACACATTTTTCTATCAAATTCCAGGAAGCCAATGAATACATGAAAAACATTCGTCAAAAGTTCGGTTCGTATCATTTGTTTGAGGCGAAAACAGCCTTCTATCCAAAGCTACTAGGCGAGTATATCGTGCAAGCGATTCCAAAGTTGGCTGGGTCACAGATGTTAGAATCGATAAAGTCCAGTCTTCGAACAAATTTAGTGATTTCATCGGTCCAAATGGATGCCAGCATGTCAGAACAGCCCATCTCAACGGCTAGCATTGATGATTTAAGCTGGAAACATTTCAGTAAACGTCCTGATCAAATGGTCACAGTCAAAACGGAGCCTGCCAAGAAAAAAGTTGATTGTATCGATCAGTCGTTGGCCGAATTGGAAGAAGACATCGAAATTAATGCAATGAATATGGCGAAATTATCGGTAAATAACATTGAAGACACCTGAAAACGTTTTTTTTTCTACTAATTTGAACAAATTCACCTATTTCCATCGAGTTCTGTTTTATTAACAAGTTTTTTTTTTGGTCGAATTTCGAATTAATCATTCAATTTGTTTTTCGTTGCAATTCTATTTTCAGCAGGCTCCAACAAACATTGACAACAATCGAAATAATACAATCTCCAGCCCGATGAGTGTTTCGAACCATTCGTTCAACGTCTTTCATTCGAACCAAAGTGTCCAGCAACTTGAACCTGCCGAAACGGGCGGATTCAATGACATCACCGAAATTCCGAATAAAATGCGACGACTCGCTACAAGTCGCACTCCCGTTTCCAACAGTACTTCCGTTTCAAATGCCAACCAGTTTGACCAAGATCACGAATCATCAGCCACTGAGTTGAAGAAACTTGACGAAAGTATCGAAAATATGAAAATGTTTAGAAACAGTGTAAATTTGCAGATATTAACCAATCAAACACTGCGCCACGAATTGGAAACGTTGAAAAAATTGCATGTTGATTGTGAGGCAAAGAATAATGGCCTGATTCAGCAATTGAACGCTGTATGTGCCGAGCGTGATAACGCCAATTTAGCTGAATCAGTTGCAAAGAACGAATTGGCAATGGTAAAAGCGGAGCATGCCAACGAAATAAGGGCAATGAAGAAGGCGCACGATGAAGCCGCCAAAACCGCCAAGGTGCGAATTGAAATGTTGCAACAAGATAAAGAAGGTTTGCGCAAAGGGCTAGAGGCCAGTCATACCACCATGTTGGAATTTCAAAGGAAACTGGACGAAAATCACTACCGTGAATTGAGTGAATTGCGCAAAGTGCACGACGACCAATTGCAACGTGCTTTGGCCGAGATTGAAACATTGAAGACAGAAGTCAAGCAGAAGACTGACATCGAAGCACAGCTCAAGAAAAAATGCGAGCATATTGTAAACCACTTTAAAGCCAAAGTCGACAGTCTATGTGGTTCAACGTTCGAGCAGCTATGGCAGAATGAATGAATTCAGTTCATATTAAAAATGTAATCGTTGTTTCATAACACTCACTTACAATGAATAAAACTGTATTTTGTGGTTTCACACACATTCTTATCGAAGCTTCATCTAATTTTTATTGGTAGTTTAAGTAAATTAGCGTTAACAGGCAACTTTGAAATGTAAAATGGGAAATTAAAATTTTTAAGTTGAAGCAATTCGAGTGTCGTGTGAAATTTGAATCGAGCTACTCATTAAGCTCAATTCTGATTGAATTAGAAGATATTTGGTGCAATTTCCATATGATGTTTTCTCTTCATTCGTTTTTTTTTCGATCATTAAATTTCTTCAATTCATTCATTCACGTTCAAGAAAATTCAGTTGGAATGGACAACTTTTAAGCATTTTAACTGATTTTTAACAATTTCGTACGAATTTGAAAGATCATTCAAAATGAGTGAACGCACCCATTTATAAGAATCAAATCAACTGTGTCAACAGCTTCAAGTAAATGTCAGCTCATACTCGCTTAACCTCACATGCATGAGATTTGCAAAAAAACTCGTCTTCGAATGGTTTTCATCCAATGTTTGTAATTTTAATGTAAATTTTACCGCGTCCACCTACTGATTGTGTCACTATTTGTGTCAAAGAATGGAAACTGAAGGGCAACATGTCATGGATAATACAAATCAGTCGATAAATGAAGCAGTAAGTATCAAATATTGATGAACCATAAGGACTGATCATACTATAGCTGCTAATTTAAGCCTTATACACCATTTTCATGGAGGAATGATTGTCAATTTTAGCTTGTTGAAGAAAGATATCGTTTTTGAAAGAACGAAAGAGATTTTGGCGGTGAGTCACCGTCGGTGACATACAATATTAAAGCGGTTAGTGCGAGAGAGACGAAATTTTACTTCGCCAATATTTTTTCAAAATTTTCAGCCGTTGGAAAATATGATACATTTTTTTAAACAAAATATGTCCCAATAAAGAATTGTATTTTCTAGGGCGTCCATGATAAATTTTGCTGGGAATGTCATGAAAAAGGAAAGAAGAAATTCAATTGTACAACTTGTTTTCGATCATTCCACGAAAAATGTCTCAAGACTATTAACCAAAGCAATTGCGTAAATCAAGAGGAAAATACGTTGATTTGTTCGGTTTGCCTCTCGTTGAATCAACCAAAAACTGATTTTGTCGACAAGTAAGTGTCTACTCGAGTTCTATCGGAAAATTGATTATGGCACGATTGTCAAGCTTTTTTCACGTCTCGTGTTCCATTTATTTTCAAGACAGTCGGTTTTCGATCTACTGAAGCATGCAATGGCAAAAATTAAACGCGATCCCTATGTAAGTAAGGCCAGTGTTTCGCAACTAATTTCTCAGTATCAAACGATTTTTCCATTTAATTTGTACAAACGAACAAATTATTATCATCCACAGTTTAAGGTGTTGAAGCACCTGGATGGCATCATCGCAATGGCTAATGTAATGGACCTGAATAAAATCAACCAAAAGATGAACAGTCGACTCTATGATAGTCCAAATGCATTTCTCGAGGATATCAACAGTGTTTATCATGTCTGCAGCAGTGCCAGTAAGTTGAATCATAGAATTCTATTGAAGATCTAGTCAACTATGTTCAATTTTGTGCATTTTACAGAGCAACACAAAGTTGAAGCCGGGTATCTGGTGAAAATGTGCACGTCCGAAGTTGAAAATATGCTCAACTGCGCGAATTGTTATAAAAACATGCACACCAAGACGAATTGGTGGACGTTAGCATGTTATCAGCCGCATCTCGTAGTGTGGGTTAAATTCAATCGCAACTCTGGCTATTGGCCAACCGAAAAAGGTTACACACATTGGCCGGCAAAAGTTGTGGCTGCTGATCGAAAAAATCTCAAAGTCATTTTCTTTGATGGCTCGGATGTGATTGAAATTCCTCGGAACAATTGCTTCTCATACTCAACAACGGTTCCAGAAGCCAAACTAATGTCGAATTCAAAGGACATGGATGATGTGTTGGAAGTAAGGCATAAAAATTTGCATTTTTTTTCTCGCCCATTTGAATTGAAACATTTGCTTTATTAGATGGTGAATTTGTACGCCCAAAACATCCGCCAAACATTTGGTCGTTTCCAGGCCAATTCGGAATCTATTCCATTCAACCAACGTCCATTCATTACACATATGCAGAGAATGTTTCCCGACTATATAACCAGTGTCATTAGTAACCGTCGTGGAATCAGTAGAGAGCTCGACTCAAGTGATGAATATGAATTCGATGATCGCAACGATAGATCCAATGACACCAATGATATTTCAAAGAAAGTTCGACGAGTCCATGTAAATTACAGCGGAAAGAACGCTGCCAATGATGCCAACCCCATGCCAATACGTGCTACAAGCAACTCATTCAGTGTACCCTATTTCGATCAATATTTGCAGTCACTCGAACTTGATGAAGCCGGCGGATTCAATGATGCCAATGAAATTCCGAAGAAAATTCGACGGCTGTCTAAGGAGAGCATTCCGATCAATCGCACATCAATTCCAAATGCCAGCCAGTTGGATTTGATTTACAAACTGGACTTCACCGAAAATGTCACTGATGTCGAACCATCAGATATTCAGCTAAATGAATTGAATAAAAGCATCGAACTAATGACGAATTTTAGGAATCGTGTTACGAATTCGGCAAAAACAAACCGATTGACCATTCAAGCATTGCGCCATGAATTGGAAACATTGAAAAAATCACAGGCCGAGTGTGAAGCGAAAAATGAACGTCATCTGGCAAAAATAAGAGAAGAACATGTTGAAGAAATAGCGGCATTGAAGAAGGCGCACGATGAAACCGTAGCTACGGCCAAGACAGAATTTGATAAGCTCGAAAAAGATAAAGAACTTATACACAGAGGGCTAGAAACTATGTTGGTAAAAGATGCCAAATCCAACGAAGATCACAACCGTGTATTGGACGAATTGCACAAAAAGCATGACAAACAATTGCATTGCGAATATCAAAAATTGAAAACGGAACATGAAAAAGTCACGAAATTGGAAAAGAAACTTCAGAATGCCATCGATGAACGAATTAATGGTGAGGCACAGCTCATGCAGAAATACAATCAGACTGTTAACAATCTCAGAGTAGAAGCCAAAAAGTGCAAGAGCTGTGGCGAATCCAAATCCGAGCTGTTCTGCAGTTCATTGTGCGAAAGTCTATGGTAAGATGCATACATTCCATACATTCATGACGGATTTTGTTGTGTTTTCTTTAAATACATTTTCAAGATTGTAGTTTGTTTGTATTCATACTTTTTATGTTATTTACGGGCTTTTCTGTTTTTGCAGGACAGGCGATAAGAAGAACTGATAGACTGATCGACTTCCCCAACGATTCATAACCGGTTATCAATCGACCTACAGCGATGCAACATTTTAACCTTATATTTTAAAGAAATTTTTAAATTTCAAATCATTTTCATCAATCACATTATTCTTTTATTATTTTTATAATAACAATATGCTTCCAAATTACATAAATCACCCATAAAGTGCTTTTTCTAAAAATCTAATCATGCGCTCTAGATCTATGAGCCACTTGACTTCTGGTGGTTATGGCTCTGATTATGATTACACCGTCCAACACATGTTTTCGCACAAGAGAAATTCCGATTGCTTGTTTTAGAGGACCAAAAACCAAGCACTTTTGCATCATTAGTTTGTTTGAAACCACGTCTAGATTTTTTTTTATCGACACATATAAGACAAATTTCAGGCCAAAATGAGCAAATCACAAACATGAGTTTCGATTTGACAGGTAAAGCAAATAATTTCTACCTTTTCTGCCTTTGAACATCTAGTATGATCCTTTACAAACAGTTTGGGTGCTTCCATGACCAAATCTAGTGATGTTTTCACATATTTCTGGCCGCATATTCGGTTGGTTCGATTTCAACTCTAAAAGAATCGACTTTTGGCCAAAAATCCTTAAATATAGGCTTTTCAGGGATGGTATCTTGGCGCAAAGTTTTTTTTTCTCGAAAATATGTGGAGTCTACCCAGACAAAAACTCTCAGAATTGGCTTTTTGAGGTACCTCCCGAACAAAAGTTACGTTTTTCATGCATTTTGCTATGAAAATATCATTTTTTGTTC